CTTTCATCTTGAAAAAGGCAAATTACATTTAATATAATGATTGACACTGGCTTCCCCACACTGTTAGTATGTCAAATGGGCTGGTGAGAGATCCTAAGGAACGGTAGAATTTTTACTTCCTCACTTGTATTCATTGCTGTATCACATTGAAGTTTACATGTGATTACATTGATTTTCCACGTGATCTAGTTTTTTGTTATTGTTGTTCTTGTTTTGGTTTTGTTTTTTTAATTTGTCTTTGGCTGCATTGGGTCTTTGTTGCTGCGCACAGGCTTTCTCTAGTTGCGGCGAGCTACTCTAGTTGCGATGGAGCTACTCTTTGTTGCGGTGTGCGGGCTTCTCATTGTGGTGGCTTCTCTTGTTGTGGAGCACAGGTTCCAGGGGCGCAGGCTTCAGTAGTTGCAGCATCCGGGCTCAGTAGTTGTGGCTCACGTGTTCTGGAGCGCAGGCTCAGTAGTTGTGGCTCGCGGGCTCTAGAGTGCAGGCTCAGTAGTTGTGGCACACGGGCTTAGCTGCTCTGTGGCATGTGGGATCTTCCCGGACCAGGGCTCGAACCTGTGTCCCCTGCGTTGGCAGGTGGACTCCCAACCACTGAGCCACCAGGAAAGTCCCTCCATGTGATCTAGTTTTAACTAAACAGTCTTCAAAAAATGAGCAAGTGACTGTAAAAGATTCCTATCAAAACATTAGATTGATTTTAATTATAATAGAGCACATACAAGCACACAGTGTAAAAAATGTTAGAACTCCTAATCCCAGTATGGGCTCTTATTATGGGGTAAAACCTGTAATATAATCAGATCTCAAATATCAACCTCTCAAAATTTGAGATTGTCAAAGATTATTTGAAATGTGGATCTCTATTTACTGTTGTTGAAACCATAGCTTGCCTAAGTGTATAGTGTGCTTGACGTATGGCTAAATCATAGTATAAAATCATAGCAAATTAGCAAGACATTTTAAAAATTGCATTCGGAGGGTAAAAACTAACCTTTATGAGTTTTTCCCCCCCAGAGGTGTTTGATAGAGCCATATAATATTCAATACAGTAACTACAAAGTTTCACTAAATTTAATTATAAATGTTTACAAGGCCCTTTGAGGTTTCTTGCTGAGTAGTAAAAGACAAAGCATACCACTGGGGAAACACTAGTTTTTCCTGCCTTGGTCAAAATGACTGAAATAATACGTAGAATATGTGGCCCCAAATTAAAATACATTCCTTTGTCATCACATGCCTTTGAAACATGTAGTAATCATTGCCAAGTTGAAGAAACCAGTGTGAGAACTATTACACATGGGAGATTTAAGATTGACTAAAATATAGGTGTTTGTAACATACGTTCCTCTTAGTATTTGCTAAATTTTGTTTCAGTAATAAAGTCTGTTTTTTTGGGGGGAGTGAAGAGTAAAAGCAAAGAGATGCTAGACAGATGTATATTCTCAACAGTAAATGCTTCTTTAATAAAGATAACCTTTTTTGGAAGAAAAATCATAGTCACTTAAGGTGAAAATTGTTCACTGCAACATTCATAGGAAAATTACTGCAGCAAAGAAATTGAACCAGGAGTTCAGAGCTATTAGGGTGTCATCAGTGTAGTTAATTTTATAAAAACAAGACCTTTAACTTTAAGATTCAGTGAGCTATTTACAGTGGTGATGCCAAAATATGCAGACGCTCAAGCCCCCTATATAAAATGGTGTGGTATTTGTATACAACCTATGCACAACCTCCCCATGTACTTTAAATTATCTCTAGATTACCTAATACAATATAAATCCCATGTACAAGTTGCTGGTGCAAGGCAAAGTCAAGTTTTGCTTTTTGGAACTTTCTGGAATTTTTTTTCCCTGAGTATTTTCAACTTGTGGTTGGTTGAATCTGAGGGTGTGGAACCAGCTGATACTGAGGGCTTACTGTAAATGAAATGAGAAATGACCAAGAAGGTACAGTCTGCCACATAGAGTTTTGATGATTATCTCATAGCAAAGTTTTTTGCTTTTGAAGAGTTAGAGAACTTAAAATAGTAATTGCTAATTCCTATGCAGATATTTTTGGATAAAAGAAAATACACTCTTAATCATGCCATTCAAGATGAAGCTTACTTACTAAGAAAGTAATTGTCTTAAAGAAAGTAGTGTTAGTGAAAGAACGGTTGAGAAACAAATGTTTGGAGATGGTTTGTTTTGTGATTTTTGTTGGGGGAAAAAAGATCATCTATATAAACTTTAAGCACTTGGGAATTTAGTTATATGTTCTAGGAAAACACATATGTGCACCACGATTGTTCAAAACAGCTCTGTTTTATACTTTAAAAAATGAGAAATAACTCATATTGATAGTGGAATGGATAAAAATTGTGGTACAAACATACAGTGGCATATAGTGAATGAACTACAGCTCTATACATCAATGTAAATGAAATACAGTGTTGAGCTGGAAAAAAAAAGTACTAGAGTAAAACATACTGTATTTTACATCAGTGTAAGGTGTCAAACATATAAAACTAAACAACCACACATGAATATGGTTAAACTAGAAGAAATACTAATTATAAAATTCAGGATAATAGGAGGCTTCAGTGGTCTTGATAATGTTCTATTTCTTAAACTGTATGGTAGTTTTAGTACTCTTTAGCTGTGTGTATACATTATATAAAATATGTATGATATTTCATGATGTTTAAAGAATTAAATCACTATGGGACAGCCGTAACTTTAAAATGAGATCAATATTGAACGTAAAAAAAATTTTACTGATTTGTGAAAGAATGCAGTCGCAGTTACAGCCAACAGGTGTGCTGGTGACCGAAGCTCAGTCAATTAGATACTTAGATACCTGTTTCCCAAACCTTGAATCTTGAGAAAGTGACTTTCAGAAAGAAATTAGACGGAACGTAGAAGATCACTGCAGCAGCAGGCAAGGCTGTTCTTGGTGTAACTTTCACAGTGTTTGGCTGCCCAGCCTCAGGGCTCCTTTGTTTCCTGATGGTTTTCCAAGCTGGCGTTCCAGGCTCCCTTTGATTCTTAAGGTCTCCAATAGCTTTCTATTGAAGACCCCTCCTTCCTTCTCTCTTTATCCCTAAATTAAAAACAAATTTGGAAATAGAAATTTCCAAACTATTTTTAAAACTCTTCTAAATGAGGAACTCTTGTGAATTTTGAGCCCATTTCTTGAAATGTGAAACAGCAGAACCTTAATTCGAAGAACATCAAGATAAGGGAAATGATAACAAATTTTTTTTTTATAATTGGTAGTTGGGATTGAAGAGTGGGTGATAAATACAGTCAACAATTCAGTTTCATTTGCGTTTAGCTATCTTTATAAGGGTTTTTTTTTTTTTCAGGTGAAATAAGCATTAAAAACAATCTAAATTAAAATGTGCTTAGAACTAGGCTTTCAAATCATTGTATCAAAATATCAAACCAATGTGCTAACAAATAAGCATATTCTATTACATTGTTCTCAATACAGAATATAATTTTTTTATCATACTTGAATGAAATTAATTTTTAGGTCTGAGTAAAATCTTGTCCTTCCAAAATTCCTTTTTATAAATATCTGTGTTTGTAATTTATTAGTACAGTATTATATATAGCTCATGAAAATTTATAAAATTGCTGTAATTTATAAATATTATATATGGTGGTTCATTGGGTTTTTAGGAATAGGAATATTTAGTTTTATTGTAAAGCTAGGTAATGGTTACAGCTGAAAAAGATATCTCACAAAGATACCTAGATCCAAATGAAAGTCAGTTGATCTAGACTAGTGTGTCTCAAAATGTGATTCTTTAGTCACCAGCATGCTTTTTTGAAGATCCCATCCGAGATCTACTGGAAAAAAAAAAAATTGAGGGTGTGGGGATAGGGCCATGGAATTTGCATTTTGAGCAAATAATAACAGCAAACATTTTATGGTGTTTACTGTGTCTCAGGAACTGTTCTAAGCACTATATGTTAACTCATTCTTCACTGCAACCCTGTCAGGTGTAGGTACTATTGTTATTATTCCCATTTGACAGAGAAGGAATTTGAGGTACCAGTGACTAGGAAACTCAAGATCACACAGCTAGCAAGTGTTAGGGCCAGGATTGTATGTGGAAAACGTACCAGGCATTCTCATCCCCACTGTTCCAGTCCAAGTCATTTGAAATTGGAAAAGCTTTATTCTAAAGTAATAGTAAAGCTGAGAGGGAGGGTGATGCATAGTGGTACTTTACAGTTCTCTCTGTGGGCTTTAAGTCTTTGTCAGCCAGCACTGAGTAAAAGCTGTCCTAATGTTACTTCATGGATTGTGAAACACGCAATATTAAGTAGTATGTTCTTCAGCACATCATTAAAGTTATATTTGTTTTTATGGGTTAATGGGCTTCAGTCAATCCAAGTAAAGTTTTTTATTTGATGTGCAGTAAAACCTAAGTAAAATCACATGTTTGTAAAACTGAGATTTTATGTTTTAATTAATTTGGGGGGTTGTCTTCAGGATTACTGGGGGGAAAATACTTGATTACAACACTTGCTTTTGGAAGTCTTTCTAAAATATATTAGCATGCTTTTCTACCTTAGTAGATTGAACAAGATGTTGCATCGTTCTGAATATTCTCACTCCTGCGGCTTATATATTGAACCCTAGAGTTATAAATTGAATTAAAAAAAAAAAAACTTAACCAGGTTTTGTTTCTTGGTTTCCTTTCTCCTAGAATGGTGGTTCTCAACTTGCTCTACGGACAAATCACCAGGGAGGCATTTTTAAAAAGATATTCATATCTGGGTCCCATCCCCAGAGACTCTAATGTGCTAGGATTGAGAAACTACTGTTCTAGAAGAAGGGTGTACGGGGACATTTTCTTGGTTTCTTTTTTGTTGTTGTTCCAGTAAATTTTGATAATACTGAAAAATATACTTGATCAGGAGTTACTAGAAAATAGATAAAATATTGTATATAAATGCTCTATCAAATTTAAACATGTAACACCTACAATTTTTTTTTCCTTTCAGATTCATTACTAAACATGGGTGCATTTTTGGATAAACCCAAAACTGAGAAACATAATGCTCATGGTGCTGGGAATGGTTTACGTTATGGCCTGAGTAGCATGCAAGGATGGAGAGTGGAGATGGAAGATGCACACACAGCTGTCGTAGGTATTCCTCACGGCTTGGAAGACTGGTCGTTTTTTGCAGTTTATGATGGTCACGCTGGATCCAGAGTAGCAAATTACTGCTCAACACACTTATTAGAACACATCACTAATAATGAAGACTTTAGGGCAGCTGGAAAATCAGGATCTGCTCTTGAGCCTTCAGTGGAAAACGTCAAGAATGGTATCAGAACTGGCTTTTTGAAAATTGATGAATACATGCGTAACTTTTCAGATCTCAGAAATGGCATGGACAGGAGCGGTTCAACTGCAGTGGGAGTTATGATTTCACCTAAGCATATTTACTTCATCAACTGTGGTGATTCACGGGCTGTTCTGTATAGGAATGGACAAGTCTGCTTTTCTACCCAAGATCACAAACCTTGCAACCCAAGGGAGAAAGAGCGAATCCAAAATGCAGGAGGCAGCGTAATGATACAGCGTGTTAATGGTTCATTAGCAGTGTCTCGTGCTCTGGGGGACTATGATTACAAGTGTGTTGATGGCAAGGGCCCAACAGAACAACTTGTTTCTCCAGAGCCTGAGGTTTATGAAATTTTAAGAGCAGAAGAGGATGAATTTATCATCTTGGCTTGTGATGGGATCTGGGATGTTATGAGTAATGAGGAGCTCTGTGAATTTGTTAAATCTAGGCTTGAGGTATCTGATGACCTGGAAAATGTGTGCAATTGGGTAGTGGACACTTGTTTGCATAAGGTATGTAAGTCTTTTTTGTTATAATTAAAATGCCCTATTAATTTTGAAAAGACACGGTAAGTAAAATTAAGCAAACTTAGTTTTAAGGCTTTTAATATTTTTATTAGGGAAGACCTATATGTTTAAAAATTATTTTCTTCACCAGAAATGAAACCTTTTTTTTTGGTTGCCGTCCTCATTTGTCTTAATCTTCTAATTTGCAAATTAAGTTTAATAAATTTGTGGCATTTGTTGTCATTTAAATAATTTATGGCTTTTTGTTGTGGCAGAGGCATCTATACACATTTGTGACTTTTGATTAAAATTCTCAACATTGGTAGTAGCCGTCTTGTTTTTTTTTTTTGCAGCGGGGGGCCGCACTGTGCGGCTTGTGGAATCTCAGTTCCCCGACCAGGAATTGAACCCAGGCCCCGGTAGTGAAAGCCCAGAATCCTAACCACTAGGCCACCAGGGAACTCCTGGCAATAGCTGTCTATGCAGCAGTTTCATAAAAAAACATGTAGAGAGGGTATGATTCTATATTAGATATACAAAAGATCAAGAGCCACATAGTATTGGAAGATACACCAGAAGCCTAGACTAAGTAAAGTTTTGTAATTTAGTTCTGAGCTCACTAGCAGCTAAGACAAAAACTGAAGTAAGAGTTGTATATTTCTTATTCTGTAGTAAAAGAAGCTTTTTCCTAGCATAAAATCTAAAAGGAATTTACATGTGACTGTATATAAATAATATATGACATGGTAGATAATATTTTTAGAGGAGATAATCAGAATTCTTTTCATACAGATGTTTTTATCATTACTGATTAAAAAACCAAAGACTAATATAAAGTGCAATCTTGTTAAGAATTCCTTTGGAACACAAAAGTTTAATTTACATTTGCAATATTTTATGAATCTTAACTTGATACAATAATAGGGAAGAAAATACAGATAATTAGCAGTTTCCTTGGATGTCTTTAAAATGTTCAGTAGTTTCAACTGGGTTTTTGACAGCGTCTACATAGCAGTCAATTAAAATTTTAGTTATCTGGCCAGTGCCTAAAATATATAAGTATTCTGTGACTCTGAAAGGCTATCAAGACAAAACCAACCTTTGGTTATGTGATACAAAGGTTTTGCCTTACTTATTCTGTCTAGATTAGAGCCACTCTATTTCCTCACCATGTAAAATGCTGGGGAAGATACAGGCATAGCCAAAAAGTTTTTCAAAGGATCTCTGAGTCTATGGAAATGCCCAGGTTTTGTTGAAGTATCTACTTCTTTTCCATAGAATGGGAAGAGACAACTTCAAAAAGAGAAAATGTAAGGGCTGGTGTTTCCAGCTTTTTTCTGAAAGGATTTTAATGATGGTATCTCTAGCTCTTCTGTTTTTTGTTTGTTTGTTTTTGTATTGTATCCTTTTTGCTTCTCTAGATGAATTAAACACAGAAATATTGATGGTTGTCAGTGCTGGAATAGTACGTGGTTCTAAAGATGTCTATCTCCTTGGACTGTATATGGAGAGCGTCTGACCTGCAGCTTTTTGAGACAAAAGCAAGCATATGTTTTTGCCTAACTAGGAAGTGAAAATAACATTTTTCCCGATTATTAAAAAAAAAAAAAAGTTATTGAAAAGCAAGCCAGATAATACAGAATATATATATTTTTAAAATTTATATAATACAGAATATGTAAAGAAACACTCAAAAATTTTGCCACCCACCTAAGTGGGCTATCTTCATAATTGCAGTATTTATTTTTTCAGTTTTTTGCCTGCCTCTGAATGTGTATATTTTTATAAAAATGAGATCATTATATGTGTTATTCTGTAGTCTGCTTTTTCATTCAACAATATATTGTAGAAAGATCTCCATGTCTGTATGTATCTATCAAAATCATATTTCATGGTTGCATAGTGGAGTGTCATGTAGTTTTGAGGGAATAGCGAGAAATCTATTAGATCTGTAATTTGGAGTAAAGAAAGAAGTTTATATTGTGGATAAACTGCACTCTGCCTTCCATTGAAACGATGTTAGTTTTCAGGAATTTTGACCCAACCCTTCTGAATGGGGTTTGAATGATTCTGGTGGTATATCTTCATTTGATAGGTTTCATCAGTTTAAATTGATTATTTTTTTTTTGTTGATGGTGTTAAAAGATTCTAGGCAGAATCCCAGAATCTCAGAAATGATAAATGATAGTCATAGAGGGACAAGGGGTTGGAACACCAGCCTCTTCATTTAACTTAGTTGAATGAAGTTGGCCATCGTAGTTCCCTTTGAATGAAGTTGCATTTAAATTGAAATCAGTTTTGAGAAGCTTAGTTAGCTGTTTTGTGTTGAAACACAGCAGACATATGAATTTTTTGAACTGCCACATGCTACTTATGGAATTAGATAAGCTTCTTATCCATTCCTGTTTTTCTGACTCCATAATTTTGTCATTCCACTTGTTTGTATTGTAAAACCAAGGGTTAGCAATATTATAAAACAATAGGATTAAAATAGAACATATGATTGCTTTGAATTTAGTCTGAAAGATTGAATTTAAATTTTAAAATCCATGGAAAGCAGGTAGGCCAGTGCTAGCCGTTAGCAATTGCTCAGTAGGTGTTAGCTGCCTTTTTTTTTTAATGGTGGAATAAATTTATTTTTTAAAAAACAATTTTAATTTTTTTATTGGAGTATAGTTGATTTACAGTGTTGTTAGTTTCTGATGTACAGCAAAGTGAATCAGTTATATATATCCACTCTTTTTTAGATTCTTTTCCCATATAGATCATTATAGAGTATTAAGAAGAGTTCCCTGTGCTATACAGTAGGTCCTTATTAGTTATCTATTTTATATATAATAGTGTATATATGTCAGTCCCAATCTCCCAATTTATCCCTCCACTCCACCTTTCTCCCTTGGTAACCGTAAGTTTGTTTTCTACATCTGGGACTCAATTTCTGTTTTGTAAATAGGTTCATTTGTACCATTTATTAAGATACCACATATAAGTGCTATCATATGATATCTGTCTTTCTCTGTCTGACTCACTTCACTTAGTATGACAATCTCTAGGTCCAGGTGTTAGCTGCTTTAAGAGAAAAGATAGAGTAGATCCGGTTTTTAAGTAGGTTTTTTAAAGATATTTTCCTGATAATAGATTTAAATTAAGTGTTGGGAATTCCCTGGCGGTCCAGTGGTTATGACTTGGCACTTTAACTGCCAGGCCCAGTTCGATCCCTAGTCAGGGAACTAAGATCACGCAAGCTGCATGGCGCAACCAAGAAATAAATAAATAAAGTAAAATAAAAAATAAATGAATTAAGTGTTAAAATTTTTCTAGCACTTCTAACGTTTGTCATTCCCTAATAGTTTACAGGGACTTTTATATGTTAACTCATGAACTCTTGGGAGATTATGATAACCATCAAAATCACAATAGTATAAAAAAATTGCTTTTTATGAGCCAAATGCAGTATACTCTAAGCACTTTACACATACTTTAATTTATTTTTCACAACAACCATAAAAGGTAGTTAGCATTATTATTGTTAAAGATAGTCATTTTTCAGAGTTGCTATTTAACAATATGAAGCTACAAGTGTTGGATGACTCTGGTCAGGTATTACCCTATTTAGATGATTAACTCTAGGGAAGAATGGTCCCCAAGAAAGCAGCTTCCCCATTTTACTGCCACTGCTGCTAGCATTCGTGGTGTTTATGCTAACTAATATCAGGTCACATAGAATATGTGACAGCTGTTTGCATAGCCTTTCATAACTTATAGATCACACTCATTTATCCTCATAGTAACCTTCTCAGGTGAAAAAAATTAAAATTTTAATTTCCAATTTGCAAGTAAGGAAATGGAGGTTTGTCATTAAAAGACTTTAAGAAAAATAAAGAAAAGGAAGAAAGAAAAGCTGTAAGTCAGATATTTGGTGAGTTTTGAAGCAGAGTCTAGAATCCAAGTTTTCTGACTTAAGTTTTGTATATATGTCGCCAAACTTTCCCAGAGGATTTGATGAAAAATTTTTTCCTAAGGGAAACATTAAGACTTTCCTTTTCTTTTTTCAATAATTACAAGATTAAAGAATTTTTAAACAAATGCAGTGATGTTTGAAGTAAAGTTATTAATCTTTATGTCCCTCCTTGTCAGTCTCATTCCCCTTAGGTAACCACTGTTTACAGTTTGCTATATATCCTTCCAAATAATTCTCTGTGTTTATTCATACAAATAGAAGTATAAAAACAAGGTTTTCTTTCCTTTTTAAAAAAATTTTTTAATATTTTATTTATTTTTTTATTCAGCAGGTCCTTATTAGTCATCAGTTTTATACACATCAGTGTATACATGTCAATCCCAATCGCCCAATTCATCACACCACGACCCCCCACTCCCCCGCCGCTTTCCCCCCTTGGTGTCCATACGTTTGTTCTCTACATCTGTGTCTCAATTTCTGCCCTGCAAACCGGTTCATCTGTACCATTTTTCTAGGTTCCACATATATGCGTTAATATACGATATTTGTTTTTCTCTTTCTTACTTACTTCACTCTGTATGACAGTCTCTACATCCATCCACATCTCAACAAATGACCCAATTTCGTTCCTTTTTATGGCTGAGTAATATTCCATTGTATATATGTACCACATCTGCTTTATCCATTCATCTGTCGATGGGCATTTAGGTTGCTTCCATGACCTGGCTATTGTAAATAGAGCTGCAGTGAACACTGGGGTGCCTGTAGACACCTGAATTATGGTTTTCTCTGGGTATATGCCCAGTAGTGGGATTGCTGGGTCATATGGTAATTCTTTTTTTAGTTTTTTTAAGGAAACTCCATACTGTTCTCCATAGTGACTGTATCAATTTACATTCCCACCAACAGTGCAAGAGGGTTCCCTTTTCTCCACACCCTCTCCAGCATTTGTTGTTTGTAGATTTTCTGATGATGCCCATTGTACCTAGTGTGAGGTGATACCTCACTGTAGTTTTGATTTGCATTTCTCTAATAATTAGTGACG